TTTTTTTTTCAACCAAACGTAATTTTTCGATTGATCGACTGCTGTTGCTCGGTGAGAATTGCGCTACGGGCATCATCGGAAAATGGTTCTTTTTTCAAATGGATTCGCTTTTTTTTTCTTCTCCGCTGTTTTTCTCGCATGTGAAGGCCTTGGCAATTTTCTCTCTCTTTTCCCTGGCACAAAATGCCAATTCTGCCAACGTGAGGCTATTAACGTTTAACTTTAATATAATTAATTATTTGTATGCTTTTGCGCGAGCGCACCCGCACGCACACTCACTGTCTGACAAACGTAAAATGCATGGAAAGCCAATCACGTCGTGTTTTAACAAACGAAGCCTTTTTCTTTGAGAGATTTTTTTCTTCAATTCGCTTGTTTCGTCTCGCCAGACCCGAAAAACAGCATTATTCACTTCGGGCAATTACCAATTTTTTCTGTATACAACCCTTTTGCTAATGGTGGTACAACGAAATTTTTCATTTCTTTCGAATGCTCATGATGAGTGATGAATCCGCAAACGGTGGTGATCCTTTCAGAAAAAAAAAAACCAAAAATGGCTCCCTTATGTGAAATGTCAAACCATTTTCGAAGTGGAAATCCTTAGCCATTGCTGAACAACAATCCTTTACGGCAAAGATTTCTTTTTAGCTAATTAATAAGTGTTGATTCAAGTTTTAAAAATGAAGTGATCCTTTGAAATGACTACCTTCAGGGTTTTTGACTTGAGGCTGTTTCAAACCTTTTCCCACTGAATGCAGAAGGACTGAGGTTTTCTTTTAAATTATAATTTTTTTCCGCACGCCGTTTGGATATATTATTATATTTGGATATATTATTGTATATCCAATTACATGGTTAATTGAAATGCAAGGTGCCGCTTATCAACAAGGCAGCATTCGATAGAAACACTCATGTTTGTCGCATTCATGCCCATGAAATGTGTTTGCAACCGCCGTTTATAAAGCGATATAAAGCGATATAAAGCATTGGTGGTGAATAAACTGGTTAATTTGATGTATGGCTTTGTATCTCTGTATCAAATACAGATGCGTAATAAATAATGGTCACGTTCAATTGGAAAGTAATATGTTGCAGCCATTTTTCAAGCTCATGTCGAATTCGAACTCTGACTAAAAGGAAATACGGTCACGCGAACGTGGAAGATTGTTCTGGGTAACACGTTGGTTAATGATGTTTCATGTACGATAGATAACATTTTTTTTATCAACAACAAGAGTGTCGTCATATCGAACTCACAATGTCTATGGAACGATGTGATATGTGGCGCAACTAGGTGATGGCCGTAGAAGTTCTGTCAAAAATCAAACACAACCAACTTTACATTCAGTTACATAGTTCAGCTAACCCATAGTACATCCATCCATGGGCTAGGTGCGCCACCAGCGTGAAAAAATATGACAGTATATGATTAATACACAGCACATTGTGAGTTCGGTCATATGCCAGTAGGCAAACGTTGAATGTAATATGCTGGTGAGTTGCTCTTATAGCCCGCTGGATATACGCGACCCACCTTCGGAAAGAGACGACATACGTTTACAGCAGAACAGGCAAATCGGAAGTTAATTGATATAAAACATTGATGGTGTGCAGGCCATGTTGTCAAGCAAAATGCCGAAAAGATACACACATACGGATATTATCGAGGTTTTTCCTGAAAACACACTAATGATTGTCATAATGTCAAATGATATTGCTGATAACGTTTCAATTGAGACTCGTTACAGTGTACTCGCTGTATTGTTGCCGTGCCTGTGTTTGTGCAACGGCATCCGAAAATGGTGTGGTTTTGCATTTGACATAGAAATAACTGTAATAACAATACGAAGATTACAATATATAAACGACAACGACGTCATCAGATGGGGGCGAAAAATAACGGCCATTGGTCACTTATCTCAAAAATATAACATTTGACGCTAATGGGCCGATTTCTATTTACACCCATAAATATGTTGTCAGAGTAAATATGGAATTGTTGGGCAATTTTTTTCCATTTTCATATTATTTCGGATTCAAGTCTCGAATTCAAGACCAACTTTTTGACTTTATTCTTTCTCGCCCACTCTCTTTCTCCGAGACTCTCAATCTCTTTATGAACACATGAAACTATTCGGAATCGCAAACGAACACCGTTAAGCAAAAAAAAAGCTCTTACTACCAGACGCTTGTCATAAAAATGAAATATGAGCTGAAATCTGTAGAGGGCATCGCAGTGAGCGAGGAGTACGTGCGAAAAAAAATTCGAATTGAAACTAAAAGTAAACACCTTTGTCGAAGTGGAGCGAAACATTTGAAATATGCGTCGGGCTGGAAGGCGCAAAAAGAAAATAAATCCATCCAAGAAATGATTGGATAAACGTCCTGCTAGAGACGGTCACATAGTGAAAGTTTTTGCGTTTTACGCAACGTTTTATTGTTGCTTTTTGATTCTTTGCTTTATCGCTTTGCACTGACCTTTTGGCAGATTTATCACTGAACTCTGATTATGGAACGTGTTCAAGAAGTAAATACGAGCACACAAAACATCCAATAAATGTCAGATTCAGTTGAAATTTTATGAAAGACAAACGTCGGAGTTTTAAAGCATGCTTGGTAAGTAAATACAGTGACCAGAATTCAAGGGAATATACTGTTGTTGGCTTGTGTTTCTATCAATTATGCTAAGCCGTTCGCATCAATTTATGACCGAAATTACAGTGGAACAACTTTTGTATTCCCGGGAATTGTGCTGGGCAAAAATTTGGAGCATTTTAGTAGAACAAAAAAAAAGGTGCGACATTCATTTACATTTAACTTGAAGTGTAAATGGAGGAAAAATAGCATCTACAATGAACACAATTTTCGCGTTTTGTTAAAAGCTCAAAGTGATGCACATTCCCGCTGTTAATTTCAAAACAGGGAAAACCAACGTGAACATTGAAATAGATGAAAATACATCAGTCAAAATGGTAGCTCTGATTTTCTTATTTCGGTTTTCCGAGTGGAATGGCTGATATGATTGAAATAAATGTTTGATTTTATTCATCACATGAAAAACTTTTCCATTCATTGTGACACACGACACCGAATCGCTACGAGTTCCATTCATATGCCATTCATATTCATCAGAAAACGGTGGAAAATGGTGCGTTTTGTGTCATTACAATTTTAATTAAATGCATGTTTTTGTGGCAAAGGTTACGATAATGATATGACCGTTTCACCTTTTTCTTTTTTATCAAATTAAAGCGAAAGAGCTGACACATACACAAACCGAAAAAAATAGGTGCGTTTTGTAGTCGGAATAGGTCGGCGCTTACCGCACGTAAATTTCATTCACAATGAGAACAAATTAGGTGTCAATTCATCTTTTTCACATTTGTACACAGAAGAAGAAGGAAAAAGTGCTGATAATTACGCTTCAGTGAAATCAGTTCACGAGAAAAGCATTCATCATTATTCATAATTCATTGTTTTTCGTTTATGTTTTGCTTTTTCCTTTCGTTACAACTCCCCTCACCATTTCCGTTTAATCTCATTTGTAAAACCAATTGTTATTCCCATTTAAACGATCTACGGCTTTTCAACGGTAAGCTCTAAATATTCTTGGAATTCGAAAGAAATTCTTTTTCAGCGACTCACTTCAAATTCAAAGAATGATAGAATTAATGGGCGGTCGGTCGGTCGGTCTGAAGAAGCCAAATGAAAATATTTGTACATTCTTATGATTTGTTTACGCGTTGACAGAAAAACCGTTCAAAATCTAAAGGTTTCTTAGAAATTTTTCCGATGGACAAGCCACCTCTCTGGTGAACTTTGATGTGAATGGAATGAACATGTAACTTGGTTTTTACACCTTTCACACCCAACGAACACAATGATTTCATTCCCATAATTTTCAGAGAGAAATGTACAATTTTTCAGCGAAACGATTTTTTTCAACCAGCTCAACGAATTAGTATGAAAATTTGATTGGGGTTACCCATTCACATAGAACCGGGAGGCTGCAACATTGACTTCTTTCCATACTAATTTGACGTTTGTCAGTGGTGAACGATTTTACAGCGCCATCTGCACATATTTGACTATTCAAAGTGAACTAGCTGTCATCAGTATCGATGAGTCATCGATGCTCAATTTTGGGTCATAAACGGCACATTTGCAATTTTCAATGTACCGTTTACGACCCAAAATAAATTGAGCATCGATGACTCAACGATACTGATGACAGCTAGTTCACATTGAATAGTCAAATATGTGCAGATGGCGCTTTTTGTGTTTGAAGCGCAACGTTGCAGCTGCCCGCATAGAACAAACAGATATTTTTTGCTTTCAATGAACAATTATCTCTGAAATGTGAAAATTACTGTAGTTTTGAGTTGTTGGGGTTTTTCGAAGAATGGTTCTTTTTTTACGTCATGCCAATTCATCGCGCATGGAAAGACCTTTTCCACTTCGACAACACACACACACACACACACTCTCAGCAAATGGTTTTTTTCTCACATTAACCAAAAAAATATATTCACATATATTTTGTGTGCACGATTTCTTTATAATTGAAATTGGCAAAATTTTACAGCTACCGCTTCTTCTATTGAATTGAAATTGGTGTCTATTGTTTTTTTTTTGTTTCGTGCACAGAACCGACATTCGCACATATTTTATTGTTTCAAATAGAGACAACGTTGGCGGCAGTTAATGGAATTATAGATGATTAATATAGATACTGAAAAGTATTGATATCAAGTGAAGAGGAACACAACAGCAACAGCCACAGCAATGGAAAAAAAACTTTAGTTCAAATTGCTTTCACTACCAATATTTGTTGATCAATTATGGTATTTTCATATAACGGTTATGAATAATAAAAGAAGAGGGATTTTTTGTTCACTCCATAATGGTGATACCAATTTTTCCTAGAAATTTTTCTATGCAATTGTCTGTTTTTAGCTATATTTCTTTATGGACAATATGAATAGATAAAAGCGTTTTACCTTTTTTTCAGTTGAGGAAATTAAACCAATAATTTGCCGTTTGATGTAGCAAAAAACTTTATTAAATTGTCGGCAGTTCCTTAAGTCGGCAGTTCCTTAACTCGGACAGGTGGTCATCGGTCGTTTAATCACAACTCAAATCCACTTTCACTCAAAAGTGTGTGTGCGTCAAAATGTACGTCGTTTCGTGATAAAACACAATTTAAACTTGCACACTAGTTTAGGTGTACATAAGGAGGATTTTCATCAAAGGAGGCAAAAGAGTAAGTTTGAAAAAAGATGTTCACGTTCGTAACGTCTAGTCAATTCCCAACAACAACAACAAAAAAATATAATTCCTTTTTTTTTTTGTCCGAATCACTAAAGTTCTCCAATAAAAGTTGATAAGGTTTTGACTTTACGTGTGGATGTCGGTAAATTCAAACAAAAAAAAATGAGAACAAACAATTTACACTTGTTGGTTGTTTCATGGCTGTTGAAGTACTGAATGCACAACATGATTCGCTACAAAAGCTCGACACCGCCGCCGCTGCCTGACTATAGTCTTTTTCATCCACCGCGCTCTCACCCACATCGCTTGGTCGTGCAGTCGAGTGAAAGTGTACGCGCAGGATAACGTTGACATGCTTTTGCTTACACTGGCTGGATACGTGTTTTTTTTTGTCGTTTTTTGATATGCCAACAAAACATAAACGTTAAACGTTAAGCCCAATGCGATGCGGTTGTGTGTGTATCGCAACAAAATCGGAGATTTTCAAACCCTCAACGATTGAATCAACAGATGCCACTTGCACATGGATGCGGCCAGACGCATAAGTGTCATGCTCTCCGGTTACTATACTTACCGCATATAGAATGTTGAAACGCATTTCGGGCTGAAAACTTTGTTTCAAGAGAGCAAAATACATTTAACTACTTTGGAAAGTTTGCAAAATGGAATGTTCGATTTTGGACAAGCCTGTTGAAAGTTTAAATTGAATTGAAACTAGCCAATATTTCACCGATTTTTACTAATTATTTATAGTTTACATTGATTTATCATACATTTTGGGTTCATTTTCATTAGTATCGTTCATTAAAACGGTTGAAATTTCGGTTCACGGTGTAATTTTTCATGTTTCAAGCACAGATTTTTGTTTTTCGCACTACATCGAAATGAAGAGTTGTCGAATTTTCTTTAAAATAAAAAATCAATAACTTTCTGCGGTTTAATATTTCCTTGTTAATAAATACAACTTATGAATTAAAGATGGAATCGCGTTGGTCTTAGCTCATGCTCATAAATATTGTCCGGAAATACATTATGGAATTTTGATTCGGATGTTTCGCGATCCCAATCGCCGCTGTACTTTTTCATTGGAACATGCACGATTTCCACTTTGGAGTCATTGTTTTGATAGTTGTTTGCTAAAAAAAATTTCAATCCCAGGATAAGCGAGGCTAACAGTGACATTTTGCTGAACATGAATGCAGACGTTGATAGAATGGTGACCGCCTTTACGAACAGTGGAAACATGAACATTTTCGTAAGGAATACACCAATTATGATCGGATACAGCCATTTGTATTTCTTTTTTTTCCCACCGCCAAGTTTGCCAATCTTTCCATATTTACTAAACTTTGGAAATTTTGATATGCCACCACCACCATACTTCTTCCGACCTGGTTTAAGAAAACGACAAAAAGAACAAACAAACAAAAGATAAGAAAATGTATATCTTGGTGCAAATCGTCAACAACCAACATAATCTGATTTGTAAAAGAAAAAAGAACTCTGTAAAAACACTGGAAAAGAGGATGAAAAAATGCAGCGTAATTTAGTTTGGTACGATACTCAAGTGGAAAAAATACAGCCAGTAGCGTCTTGATGCTTGAACTTTGTTTTTTCTCTTCTCTTTGTTGTTCGTATGTTTCAACACAAAATGAAAACGGAGGAGAAAAATGTAAATTGCCCTTCGCGTCTCTTTGATACGTCGTTACAACTTGAACAGCTTAATCAGCGTTTTTTTTTCATTCATTCATTCAGCGACGTGTGTTCACCTGATGCGCTTGTTGTGCGTGTGTTGAAAATGACAACGCACATGAAAAATGAGCCAATTTAAGTGAATCGTTGCCGACGTTGGTTTTATGTCTAAAGAGACGATGAAATTTAATCTACTTCACATATTCAGACATTTTTCGATGTAACAGACTCATTCAATCCATCCAACAACGGACGAGACCTAAGCCAATCGACCGAAAATGAATTTCGGATAAGCCACGGCACACACAACGAGAAAGAGAGGGAGAGAGAGAGAAAAAAACAGCAGCAGCAGCAGCTGAACTATGTTTAATATTAAGAGTTCACCTGTTTCCACGTCAGCTAACGCGTCATCCGAATCTCGACTGGAATAATCGACAGCATCATTTGGTTTTGGCATTTCCATTGCGTTGTCAATTGCAGTCACATTTGTCGCCGATGTTCGAATGTGATTACCGACCTCATTGACATTGTTGCTGTTGCTGTTGTTGTTGTTACTATCGAAGAATGAGGTTGGTCGGTTGTCTGTTTGTGATTTGACTTCATTTCTCATTGACGCACTATTGTCCACCACAAAACCGTCTGAATATTTAGTAACAATCGAAATTGTCAATAGCAAGTACAGCGACGTTGTGAACATGTTTTTCTTTCCTTTTTTCTCGCCCCTTTGAATGTATTTGGTTTATGTGCACGCGGCACAACCACAGATAGACGAAGAAGAAAAAAATTGATAATGGGTTCTTGTTTATGACCTTAGTTAATTTAGTTTGGTCCGTTCGGTTGGTCTTTATCTTTTCGAAATCGAAAATTACATTTGGTGACGCACAACTCCCTAATTAATCGCTATCATTCGCCGTGTATAAAAATATTCTAACTACAAAATCGCTCACACACATACACACAAAGCACAACTCGCCGATTTTTTTTATCCGAATCGTACGGTATTGCCAAGTTCGAAGAGTTTCGTTTGACACAAAGAATCCAAACTGAATGACAATGGAATATATCGAACAATGGCTTATATATCAGCTACTGGAGAGGAAAATGTGGGTGAAACGCTGAACCAATCCATTGAGTACGAAACTAAACAAGCATATCGGGAGAGTAATCAACGCTTCACTTGTGCCAATGAAAAATAATAACGAATATACTCAAAGATACTATTACTTCCACGTGAATTGACTTACAATAGCACAATCTGTTAGCATTGCCTATTTTCGCTACTTTCTTCCCCGTTTGTTCGCATTTTCTATGATATCAGTTCACGCATTGCATTCTATGCACCGAAAACATGTTTTTCTTTCTCTCTTCCTTTCTTTCTCTCATTCATTCTTTCGTTTTGTCTTTTGTCAACTCGTTTTTGGATCACTAAACAAACTAATTGATTGTCTTCTTCAATCATAATTTCTATGTTTCTCTTCCATTTGCTCCGAATCACCATTTCTGATTGCACTGATTTTGCCATTCAATATTTAAGTTGAGAAATACAGTTATAGTCGGAATTTATCGTGTGCATTTCATTTGTCGCTCATAGTTTCGTTTCTATTTCTTCTTTTTTTTGTATTCGTTTTTTTTCAGTCTTCTTATTAATTTTTTCGTTGCGACAAGGCACAAATGCACCGGAGAGCCCGAGTCGACATTGAAAAATAATATTTTTGTTCTGTTTATTCGTCATCGATCTTTGATTTTTCTTTGGATTCAATATGCATTTTTTTTTTGCTCTTTGCAAACTTATTTCGAAGCCGTTGAGTTGTTTAACGGCAAAATTACACATTTTTCTTCGCTTAGTTTTCTATTCAGTCAATCTTTTGGTGCAGCACAAATAATTCAATTTCATTACTTTCGCCATATTTTACAAGCGGTCTCTTCATTACATTAAGTCGTTTTTTTTCTGCTGACAACCACCATATCAATCTCACTCATCACAGTTTATGGTAAAAAAGCAAACTTTTCGGATGTTCTTTCAAATAATTGACTTCGCATATGACTTGTTGAACACTAAAGTGTTTTATATAAATGATTTATAAGATGTGCGCCATTTTATTTGAAGCTAAAGATACGCCATGTTAACATGAGAATTTTCATGCACATTATTATTTTCATCGAAAATGACGACGCGTTGTTCTAGTAACCTCGACTATAATGAGAAGAAAACGATGAAAATATTTATTGTTTGAGTTGCTAGCTGCTTTTGAATCACCATCAGATGTGCAAACAAAGTGCTTCTTTGTTTCTCAGACCAGCCAACCAAGTGTATTGAAATCGGTGTGCTTCAGAGTCATATATCATCGGAAAGCAAATAACTATGAGCAAAATCAAGCAGGTATGAATTTTCCATACAACATCTCACATTTGTAGTTGCTACCTCATGCATGCATGTGCGCAATCAGAACGATGCTATTTTGAGATAGAAAGAGGGCAAGAGAGAGAAACAGAAAGAGAGAGTGAGAGAGATTTCCCATTATGTGTTACATGAAGCCTGATCAAAATCACGTGGCGTGATTCAAGTGCTGCTTGGCTCAAACTTAAATCTTCAACTGCTACTATAATCTGAAGCAAGAAACAGTCAACACTATTATTGTTGTCAAATAACGAAGCTATCTATTGTTTTTGTCAGTGAATGGCAGCTAGTTTCTACTCCTTTTTGCTATCACCCTGGCTTACATGGCAGCAAATTGCTAAGCTAAACAATAAATATCGTGATGAAGCAAGTTTTCCACCAACAAGTGAGTATAAGAATTTTCTTGGAAAAACTATAGAAAATAATAGATTCATTGTGAGAGCGAGTATTTTGGTCGGCACATCGAAAACAGAACAAGCATTCGCATAAATAGTAAGCCAAAGTGAATGGAAAACTTCATGTAAATAATTGTACCGGATATTTGAAGGATGAAAAAGTTGCCACGCGCAATATAACGAACGTTAATCGATTTTGAAAGAAACTTTTTCCGAAGTTTGTGAAAATATTGTAACGTCGCGCGTAACATCCAAACCAGGCATCATTAAATCTTTTCAACAGTTTAGAAATTTGTAACGTGTTTTTGAATTCAAGCAGATCGTTAACTTTTTAATAAATTATGTAAAATATATAAGTGAGTTAGACACAGAATAATTTGGTATTGTATCATTTAAATCTAATCCTTAAATTGATAGGCACGCAGCAATGCTGGCGGGGTGTGAGCAGTGTCCTTCTGTCTTCTCTTTAGTTTGTCTTCGATAGATCGCACTTCTTGTATGCCGTGTTGAAGAAATTGTAAAACATGTAGAATACCAGAAGAACGTTAGGCACATAAATGGCCAGCAACAATTTGGGTACGTCGCAGCCCTTTGCCAATGAAAGTGCACATTGGATGAGAATGATTGTAAATTGGATCTATAAACAAACGAAAGAAGTAGAAGAAGAAAGAAAAACAGAACGAAAATTCATTAGATGCAATCAGGTTGTTGTGAATTTGTTACCAAGTGGAAAATGAAAAATTACCATTTGAATGAGTGTTATGTTTTTCTTGATGCCGATTAATTTGCGTTGAATTTCTGGCCCGAACAATGCAGCAGAGTAATAACTGTACATGATGACGTGCACCTGAAATTACCCAAATAAATTTTATGAATAATAAATAATGAGCAACAAACGACGAATGATAATTATAATAATAACAATAACTTACAAATGAATTGAGCACCACGGAGAACAAAATCATGCCACCTGCAACGAAATAGCAAAATAAAATGAAACAACCACCGTTTCTATATAAACCGGAATTTAGTGTTTGTGACAGATAGACGTGCACGCGAAAAATCGGTTTTTGGTCTGTATGTTTTGGTTTATTTTTTTTTTTTGTGAAAGTTTTTGTTGTTTGAATTTGCACATTTTGATTTTGGCGCACAAACAAACGATGATAATATTGTGTGCCATCACTCACCTGCGGTGTATTTGACCAAAATCCATGCAAGAGTAGCGGTCGATGTGTGGTGATACACATGCAATTTGGATACTTGATTTTGTTTCTTTCGCAATACAAAAAATACCGTTTCGACCAGTTCAACCAATTTCAGTAGGAATGTATGGTATGCGAATGTGAGTAGTGTGGTCGCCTTTTGACTACCGTTGTAGTCGACACTTTGACATTTCCAGAATTTGATGATGTTGAATTCGTTGGACAACAGGCCATAGATTATATGACAACAAACCGCAACTTGCGCCAAATTATAGACTGCCAGAAGCCACTTTAGGTTGTACGCCTTCCGTTTTTCCATGTAACTAACAGAGATATACAATGAAATGAAAGACACAAAGGAGAATATAAAAAAAAGAGCAAAGTCATTTTGAGCTGACGACAGTGAATTGATAACATGACCTTTGTGTATGACACAATCATGCTATTGGAAAATGGAATACATCAAATATCAAACCGGATATTAACATAATACCCCTGTGGAATAATATTGAAACGGAAAGATGATCGTTGTTTTTACTATTTTGATACACAGGATTACATAATCATTGAAGAAATTGCCTTAATGAACGGTAGCTTTTGCAAAAACTGTTTCTAAGTGAATCGATTTATTTTTAGAATCATGCTGAATAATTAAATCGAAATGGTCGACACCAGATTTAGATTATGGTAACCATAATAGAGAAATGCGGAGGGAAACAGCGCGGCGTTTTCAATGTCGATTGCTTTCGCCGATACATATTACAGTGCAATGGCATTGCTAATTGTGGCCACCGGGTCACAATTGAAACCATGACAACAATCCATTGAACCAAATGCATAAATCAATTGCCGATCGGCCCGTATGAAGTTCAATACTCGTGTCCGAATACATTTTCCATTCGATCGATCGACCAACGCGCACACATACATCGAAAGTAGTCATGTCGTCCGTTTTTTTAAACGTTTTGAATTTTTGAACACACAGACAAACGCATGACTCGACGAATTATTACCACACGTTTCAAAACTTGCGCGAAATGTGTGGCTACACAAAGTATGAAAGTAAAACGAATTATTCTCTTCGAATTTGTATACAATGGCAAACTCATTTCAATATTACAAAAAACGACAAGGCGCATACACGAGGTAATCGTATGTATAATTTCCGTTGATGGGATCCGATTGTGGCATACCCATTTTGGGCAATTAAAACATTCAACCGACTAGAAAATGATGAGCTGGCAAGAGTCCTCAACTAATTTTCACTTAAATGTGAGCATAATTTGCAATTTATATATGTATCGAAATTGATTGTGGCCAATCCATTTGATTGAGCTGATATTGGTATTTATTTTCGGAATAAATTTGTTTTCGACGGAAATCCGGTATTCGATGAACCGAAATGAACGATTCAATTTTGGTGTTCGACCTTTTTTTCCCAATTTGTAAAATTGATTCTTTTTTTATTCGGGGATTCACTCGAATCACGTATTTGATTATGCAATGCCCGTGCAGGGTAAATGTTTTAAATTTTTTTGCGGTGTTGTAAATGTTAAATGTCACCAGTTCATCGGTGATTATAATTAGCGCATTACTCGTGGAATAATGATATTATGGGTGATTGTGTGTATCCACCTTCGCTGTGTTGCATAAATAAGTTGATAAAATTATCGAAAGGAAAAAAAAAAATAAAAAAAACAACATTTCGTGGTTGCATCAAACCGAACGATGGGAAAATGTTCATTTGAAAAATAATTGGGTGAAAATATGGATGTAACTTACGCGGGCCCAAGTCGATATATGATGAATAAATACGTGGCTAAAATGCCTATCAACGGCAACGGGCTTCCCATCAGCGTCCAATCAGCAACGCGCGGATCTGTATTTGTGTTGACAAAGTGTTATCTTTGTTAATTAATCCTGTTAAACATCCATCGCAATGATGTGAAAAATAATGTTGTGCTGAACATAAAATAAATCACCTCCGATCCATAAAAAATCCATTCCACTTCCAACGGTTTGTTGCTCCATTATTTTTTTTTTTTTTGATTATGTGTTAAATTAAAAGCAAATTATGTGTTTGATTGAATTTTTTTGAACAGGAAACAAAATTTGTTCCAACAGATTATGACGATTGAGTATAAAAAACTAAGATGATATTCTTTTAAAAACGAAAAAAAAAATGTTGTTTGCGAAACGAATCACATACACCGCAAATCCAATTTCAAACTAGTCGATAACTAATCAAATATGCAACTGACTCAACACTTCATTCTAAAAATGAACTTTTTTTCAAGTAGAACGGAGCACCTAGTCCTTTCGACAACGACAAACAATCACAAACTACCGACTAGTACACATGGAGCACCGATATTTTATTTGATTTTAAATTTACCGTTTTCGTTCGATTCCCGTGACAACATTCTTTCGTTCCTCGCATTTTTTTCGTTCCTTGTAAATGTATGCAAGTTTCATTTGTCGTGGATTTCGGTGTATTGGACTGCCAAACGATTACAAAGTATTACTTTGTATATGTATTGATCAGCAAAGCAGAAGACAATACAAAAAAAAATCACACGATAGCCGAGTGATATATGTTCGAGTTTACGGTTTTTGATAGGCTTTCGATTGGCTATATTTGAACTATAGCTGTGCTCACGATTTTTTTTTATCAAGATATCGTAATAAACTAAAAATATCGTTCGATATCGTTATTATGATGGAATCTTAATAACGCTATCAACTTTTTATCAGGATATTAACTATATTCAAATAATAACGTTATCGGATGAATCTTAATAATATCGTTTGGAAGTTATCAAGATCGAATCCTGATAATTCATCAACATTCAATCTTAATAATCATCAAGTTCTGGAAGTGGGTTTTGGTGGATCCTCAGGATCGACCAGAACTGCTCCCAGTTCTGGAAGTGGATCTTCAGGATGTACCAGATCCAGTTTGACACTGCCCTTGGCCCATGGTTTGAATATAGTTAATAACCTGATAAAAAGTTGATAGCGTTATTAAG